ACTAGTGTGAACCTGCAGGTCAGCCACAACTAGAGCTGAGGGAATATTGCTATGAAATCCCACGAGTGCTTGTTTACATTTGTAAAAAAAGAAAAAAATCACCTTGGTTATGCTTATACTGTTCCCTATGAATGTTTCTAGGTAATATTTTCCCATGTTTTTGAGGTTTTTAAACAAAAACATGCCGTTTTCCTTTTGTCTTTTTTTTTCCCCTCCTTCCACCAAAAATGTGATTGTATTTTTCTTCATGAATATTCCAGGTTGACACTTTCAACTGCTCTATTCTAGAAGCACTAGAAGACCACTATGCATATGGTATAAGTGCAACAGCCCAGCACAAACTGATCATGTCCCTCGAGGACAAACTCCTGCCTTTAGTGACTCCAAGCACTACAGACACACAGAAGATTCAGGCCAGCTCCCACATTAACCTGCCTCCAGCACCTGCCTGTACCCATCTTATATCAATTGCCAGTGACAAACCATGGTAACTATGGAGGAACATAAAAGGTGTCTGGCAGACCAATGCCTTAACCCAAAACCAACTTGGTACTTTACACCCTGCAGGCAGGATGAGATCTCTTTGGAAATACTTAACATCAGTTGCCTTTCCCTCAAATTAAGCATGAGAAACAAAGAGGGTGTTCTAGGAAAAATGTGAACTAAAACAAAAGCCTGCCAACACTGTGAGTTCAGGGGGGATTTGCTGAGATCTGTTTTGGCAAATACAAGGGGGAAAGGGAAAGGAAAATAAAGAGATGCCACTCAAACAGCAGCAAAGGAGCAAGTTTAGCTTTTCAGCTGTAGCTGGCATCAGAAGGACAAATACTAAAGGACCTTTGAAGTATTTTTGTGCTTTCCTCAGGCTTGAGCTGGTGGGTTACTGGATAATGGTGAGAATATACACAGCTGACACAAGCCACCCACTGCTCAAAAAATCACTGATGCAAAGGGACATCCCAATGAAACCATCCCCATTTTGTTCCAGGCTATCTACAGATCCAGAGAAAGCATGCCATCTTACTGTCGTCACTTCCATATTAACATAGGCATTCTCATGTCCAGAAAGGATAAAGAATTTCTTTAGGCACAGGAAGAAGCAGTAAGCAGGAAGTTACACTTTTATACTGAAGCACATGCCTCAAGTGAAACTCCCACCCCAAAGCTTCCAGTAACTGCTTGCATAGAAAAAACTTGTTATTCACTCAATTCCTCAAGAACCCCCTCTCTGCTTCTTTACCCACACCTCTTTCCCCTTCACTGCACCTTTTCTCCACATCCAGCACTCTCATATTTCCATTACATGACTCTGGACTACTTTGAGCAACAATTAAAACCTGGTACTGATGATGAAGGCCATACAACTAAGCTAAAAACATATCCTGCAGATTCTAGATGTGGCTATGGAAAGTTATGAGCCATCTGTACTCTTCAGAGCCACACAAAATGCGCTTATGCTGTATGCGCTCATAATTGTAGTGGCTTTAGCCTAAATTGTGCCATCACTTAGTTTTTGGGCACTTGTACTTCTCAGAATTTAAGTGTCATTGTCCCTCGCACATTACAGATAGGATGCCCTGCCGTGAGCATTCTAGTTGCTGCAATTATTTCAACCCAGCTAAGAGCTTATTTTAAACAATTTTACTGCTCAAGTTGTCTCCACCTCATTTATTGTTAAGAGTCTTTTCTCTTTCTAATGGAAGCCAGAACTTCATTCTGAGGTCTCGTGTCAAAGAGGCTGCAGGTGAACATCAATCAGGGACAAATTAGGTACTGTTTTATTACCAGCATAGGAAGACACAAAAAGCAGCATGGTCCTGAGACAGATGGATGTGCCACTTGGGCTCCAGCAGCAATAGCTTTCTGTACACTCCACACCCTGTTTTTGGCAAAGCACCTCACCACAGCTTTGCATCCACCAAATGAGAACGCTGTGGCTTTAAATAGTTATCCCCATTAAAAACTATAAATGAGATTAAATGGTCCAAGATAAAGTATTGCTGTTATTAAGGAGTGGTTTGAATGAACCAAGCTGCAACGGTGGGACCAAGATTGTAGTTTAGCCGTCATTATTTTCTGTTCTCTGGGGACGTGCACACACACGCACCCGGCCGCACAGACACATCGGCCTCCATTAACATCAGCAGCAGCTGGTCCTGAGGTATATATGTTTGCTTACAGTAAGTTATATAAAGATGCTTTTTAAAACAAGTAAGGCTGAGAGAAGTCAACCTTGTGTCAAATATGACAGCAAGAAGCATCTGCCACGGGGGCAATCAATTGCATATCCTTACTCCACATTAAAATAAAACCCACAGAGGCTCACCCTTCAGCTGGGAAGGAAATCTTTACAAGCTAAAACTAGGTATTCACTTTGATGCAATACCCACAGCCGGTCAGACAGCTTGTTTAAAAATTGCTTTGCTATGTTCCTGCATGGCAGGTCTAACCTCTTGCTCGCAGGCATGCAATACTGTGTAAGGAAGCATTAAAGACTGAACATCTAATATCACCACAGGTTTTGTAAACCCTTTTCCCTGAAGACTTCGGATCAGATGTGCTACCCGAGTTTCACTGAGGTTTTTACTCTCTTTCCCTAATTTTCCAGCTGGGTTAACCAGGCAGGAGGAGGTCAAGTACCCCACAGAAAAATCACACAAAGTGTCAGGGCCACAATCAAAAGCTAGGATCCTCAAACACCTGCTCTTTTGCTGTCACCATGTCATGTGTTTCCCAGGTTTTAGGTTTTATTTGCTTTCATGACTCTTGAGGCTGGCCATATTTCTGTTTATTAGTACTCAGTAAAGGTTTTCTCACTTTTCCACTGGCACTCAAGTGGCATTTAGCATGTGAATCTGTACTGCTGTTCTGCATTGTCTTTACCCAACTAGGAAAAAATAAAGTGTCCGAAGTTTCCCACATCAACCTTGCAGAGTAGCAAGCAGCTACATACCCTGCACAGTTGCAGAAAATCACATCTGACATGATTTCTGCTCCCAGACCAGACCAAAATATGAGAGCAGAGGGAATAACATCCCTCAGATATGCTCTCATAGTGAAGAAAATTATAAAACCCACCAGTAACACTACTCGATTTATTCTTTGAACAATAACAGCACTGTGCTGAGCCAAGAAGTAATGAACTGAAAGCATATGTAGAGGCAAAACATTCTCCTGATTAGTATCAACTGTTCCTAAGACAAATAAAATGCTAACCATTGCCCAGTACAGCAGCTTTCCTATCTACTGCAAGAACTGTTCATCCCTTGCATGCTGTCTCATGGCTCATTTTACCAAAAATTTCTTATCAGGCTAAATACAATCAGCAGAAGGCCCCATAATAAGGGGCAACAACAATTATAGTACAATGAACTGAGTTTAAATAGGACCTTTAGCTCCAAAGGAGCCCCCTCATTTCTCCTCAGGCACTTCAGGGTAATGCCAGCTTCTGCTGCACTAATGAGCCTACAGAATAGTCCCCATCGCTGGCTTTGCCCTCTGCAGAGATATTTGTCATCAGGACCCCCCTGATTTGCAACGGCAGCCCTGCCTTCCCCAGGCTTCCTATGCGGGGCTGCAGCTGAAGGCCAGCTGGGCACCCAGCAGAATGGGGTGTCACGGTGCTAGTGCAGATGAGGCACAGGCCTGGCCTGAGGCCTGGAAGGACAACGCCCTGGGGATTTACAAGCGCCAAACAGTTTATCATCCACATGAAGCATTTCTTTATTTCCTTCTATTCTTTTCTTTTTCTTCTTCCCCATGGAATTAATCTTATGCCAATCTACTGCTGCTGAAGCCAGCAAGAGGCTGGCACACAGAGAGGGGGAGCCCCTGACATCACCACCCAGACCATGAGTAACAGAAAAGTTTGGGTTTGAAAGGAGCTTAAAGCTCATCCAGTTCCAACCCCCTGCCATGGGCAGGGACACCTTCCACTAGGGCAGCTTGCTCCAAGCCCCTGTGTCCAACCTGGCCTTGAACACTGCCAGGGATGGGGCAGCCACAGCTTCTCTGGGCACCCTGTGCCAGCGCTTCAGCACCCTCACAGGGAAGAGCTTCTGCCTAAGAGCTCATCTCAATCTCCCCTCTGGCAGGTTAAAGCCATTCCCCTTGGCCTGTCCCTACATCCCTTGTCCCAAGCCCCTCTCCAGCTTTCCTGCAGCCCCTTCAGGCACTGGAGCTGCTCTAAGGTCTCCCCTTCAGGAGCCTTCTCTTCTCCAGGCTGCCCCAGCCCAGCTCTCTCAGCCTGGCTCCAGAGCAGAGCTGCTTCTATGGGAAGGTGATAAGGGAGCGGGATTTATTTTGCTACCTTTTTGGAGAGAGCAGTTTAAGAGCCTTAGAAGCTTTCTCTGAGCAGGCCATAGGCAGAAGGAGAGTGCACCATCCTGCCTCACACCATCATGAAGCAACAAAGCATGAACTAAAGACCACCAAAGCACAATCTAATGGGTCCCAGTAGCTATAGAGAGGCTCAGCTCCCGTGCTTCCCAACTTGCCCCAAAGCAGCATCCCCTACCCCAGCACCATCTGTGCTCCCAAGGGCTTCCACAAACAACGCCCCTGGGTCCTGCCGTACTTCATCCTGCCCGGTCAACCAGGCACGCCTGGAAGGGCTGACTCCCTGTTTCTGTGCATGGGCTGCTGTTACGCAGTAACCCTTTTACAGGATCACAGCTGCCCCCCCCCCCCATGCCAGCTCATCCCTCTTCACTGCATTTTTCTTTCTTTTTCTAATGAAGCATCTTTGCTTTTTACCATGATTTTATCTGGCAGCTACTACAACACCTCAAGGTCTAAAAAGGACATTGTAAGAACAGCACATGCTATGCTGAACTCAAAAAGAGTGCAGGAAAAGAGCATCTGCCACCCTAACAGCTTTAAATCCTCTTTTCCTTATTTCTCTAGGTGTCCATATGTGGCACAGCAGTAAAGCAATACCACACTGAAGAACTTGGCTTTAAAGCCCAGCCTCTGTCCTGATGAACTCCACAAGGACCCACCTGACATAGCTTTCCGCTAGCTTCTCATCTCCCATCATACTTTCTTCAGATGTTAATAAAGTGCACATAACCAATAATTCTAAGGAAAACAAGAGAGGGAGAAAAAAAGTAAATCAAGATTTCTTTTGACAGATCGCCAAACCATGAGATACACATATATGTTAATTGCTTCTGCCTGCAGAGCTCAACACAGGGCATACCTGCACCCAGAAATCCCACTTTCCTTCACAACCTTCCCAACAAGGAATATTTGCAAGAGCTTAGCACAGGTAAGCTTGGCTGAGGGCCATTTGGGAATGTCAGCATTCCTTTTAGAACCAAGGGTTGCGAAGGTCCCAGTTATAACTGAGACATGGAAAACTCCACACTGAAAACTATATTCAGCATTGAGATACAGCCTCTGTTCATAGATTCATGTATCTCCTTCGCTTCAGAGGCAGCAGACTTTTCTGGAAGCTGGGAACAATGCTGCCTGCAAAGTTACAGAGGAAATTACTGTAAATGCTTAAAGGCTACACAAAAAGCGCCGGGGCATGCAAGTATAGAATAAATGCTTACATTTACCAGCCCTAATCTTATTGCACTGTGAATATATTTGTGTTACACAGTGCATAAAACCGACATCAGTTCTTACTACTTCATTATATCACAGCAGCAAGGTGATAAATCCATTATGGTATTATTATTTGGAAGACAAGCAATTGGCCATGTCAGCCCACACTCTGCTATTTAAAGCTATCAAGTGTGAACTTTTTATGGTACTCTGACATTTAACAATATGCAACGTTTTCATTTATTTTTTAAGAGGTTATAAAAAATAGAAAGTGTAAGAAATTGTGGCCACAACTGTTGATCTGAATAATCTATACTGAACCCGATATTGAAATCCTCCCCAGAAGGATACGTTAGAGATGACCACAGTGTGTATTTGTAAATTCAGTTCTTAACCTTGAGGGAAGATGCACAACCTCACATCAATTCTGCAGTGTTATTCCAAAAGACAGTAAAAAGATTAAATATAAAATACCATGTGGTTTTAACTTACAATACAATCTGAGTGTACACTTGCATGATCATGGGCTTTTCCCAGCAGCAAAACAGACAGTATTCTGATAAAGTTATCTTATGGAAAAAAATAACGTAATACACTGCATAACTTCTTTTAGGCTTTAAAGTATGTACCAATCCCTTTATTTTGTCATGCATCTGAAAGCTTCAGCACAGACTGGCAGTACATTTACACAGTAAATACATTGTCTGAGACAAATTCCTCTTGCTGTGCTGCTCTCCAGTGGATGCTGTCTTAGGTTTACATCAACCCCTAAGCTTTCAGCCCACAAACACTCATGTTTACTCCTAACACACACTCCACCTAGTACAGACATGCTGAAGCCACACCTGAAAAAACAAACCTCTGTTAACTGCAGCCCAACCACCAGCTTGAGGAAATTCAGATTAAAAACCTATATCATTCCATGATCCTACAAAATCCTTGTGCCACCAAAAATTTCTGGTCAGATATCAAGCAAGACACAGCTTTGTTGGCCAAGGTGTCCCAAGAGGTAACATATTTTTCTTGGAATTATTTTTAAGAGACTGCATTTTTTCCAGGAAGCACTCATTAAGGCTGCAACAAACACAAAGCTTATCTGGCAATTAGACAAAAAGAATCTTTTTAATTAACATAGTTATTAAAAAAAAAGTTTAGTATGAATAAAAGGAAATGGAAACTACAAAAGGTACTTTTTTAAAAGCTTGTTTAAAGAATTTTCCTTTAGACAGATGGCCGGTTTTGACAAAACTAACATTTCCCTTCTTTAATGAAATGGAAGCAAGTTCCTAAACCATTTTGGTTTGGTTATATCTGAAATCATATAAAACATTTTGTCTATGACCTATCACAAGAATACCCCCTTTGGAAGCACCAGGTACCCCCGACATCAGGACAGCCCAAGCCACGTGCTCACAGGGGTCACTTCACCAAGTTTTAGCCTCCATCACCACCTTCCTCACCTACAGAATGAAGTTACAGTTTCACATTTTTGTAATATCCACACCTGAAAACATTTAAGTTTTAAGTATCCAAAATAAGATTACAGATGTGACTTTGCTGGAAGAGGCCTTGAAGCTCCTCCAGCTCCAAGCCCCTGCCACAGGCAGGGACCCCTTCCACTAGAGCAGCTTGCTCCAAGCCCCTGTGTCCAACCTGGCCTTGAACACTGCCAGGGATGGGGCAGCCACAGCTTTTCTGGGCACCCTGTGCCAGCACCTCAGCACCCACCCTCACAGGGAATAACTTCTTCCTTATATCTAACCTGAACTTCCCCTGTTTCAGTTTGCACCCATCACCCCTTGACTTATTGCTACAGACCCTGATGAAGAGGCCCTCTCCAATATCCTTTTAGGCCCCCTTCAGACATCGGAAGCTGCTCTCAGGTCTCCACACAGCTTCTCCAGGCTGAACAGCCCCAGTTTTCTCAGCCTGTCTTCATCCAGGAGGTGCTTCAGCCCCTGATCATCCTCTTGGCTTCCTCTGGACTTGCTCCAACAGCTCCATGTCTTTCTTATGTTGGGGACACCAGAACTGTATGCAGTGCTCCAAGTGGGGTCTCCCCAGAGCACAGCAGAGGGTCAGGATCCCCTTCCTGAGCTGCTGCTCATGCTCTGGGGGTGCAGCCCAGCACACAGAAGGTTCTGTGCTCAAGCGCACACTGAAGATGGGTCATTGAGAGCTTCTCCTCACCCAACACCCCAAGCCCTCCTCCTCAGGGCTGCTCCAAATCTCTTCTCCATGCAACCTGCAGCTGGGCCTGGAATTGCCCTGACCCAGGGGCAGGACCTTGCAGTTGGTTTTGTTGAATTCTATGAGGTTCGCACAGTCCCACCTCTCCAGCCTGTCCAGGTCCCTTTGGATATCATCTGATCCCTCCAGTGTGTTGATTGTACCACACAGCTTGGTGTCACTGGTGAACTTGCTGTGGGTGCTTGATCCCACTGCCCATGTCAGCAGCAAAGATGCTGAACAGGATCAAACTCTTCCCTGAGGGACACCACTCATCACTGGTCTCTACAGGAACATTATGCTGTTGACCACAAAATAGATTCTTTAAATCTTGTTCCAGGGTTCAGAAGCAGCCTTTAAAACCTGAAGCACAGAACAGCTCAGAAAAAGCAATAATGAGCCTTAGCTAATGTATTTTCATACGCACACATAAACATAATACATAGACACAAGGATTTTCATCACCAAGAAACCACACCATTTCCATGTCAGATTCCTTGTTTTGCTTGTAATAAGCTTGTTTTGAGAATAGAAAACAAGAATTTTAGTTGTATATGCCTACTCGCTCTCATCAGTACATCCACAAAAGGCAAAAAAACCCCACAAACACCAAAGCTTTCTCCAGGCAAAGTTACACCACTTTAGATGAAAGGGCACAATGTGTTTTAGCAGAGTTTTACACACATTATTCACCAAGCCCCCAAAGCAGAAAAGTTTTTAAAGCATCTGTATGCCTCAAAGATTCTTTTCTTTTTATCACTGATCAAATTGAGTTACTGAAATGTACTTCTTCCATCCTCTATGTACTCCCTAGGCCACAAGAGTCTGTTTATGACTACACCAAAAAATAGCTCAGCCTCATTAGGTCCTTCTACATACTATTGCAAGAACGCAGTGTAAACTTTAACACAGCAGTTCTTTCTTTCTGAGCATCCTTCCTTTACACACTGCTTTCAAAGGATGAGAAACTAAATCAGTGTTTACTTCCTGGCCAGTGGAAGCAAGGAATTGCTTTACTGATAAATCCATTTTTAACTCTTAGAAATAACTCACTAGAACACCAAATATCAAAGACTAAAACAACAAATTACAAGTATTTTTGGCCATCGCAGCACCTCCCCCCCGCCCCCATCCCCTCCTTCCCCATCTCACCCCCAGCACACCCTAAGACCCCCGGGATCCTTCACCATTTCCCAGAAAAACGTTAGGAAAAGAGTTAAAGCGTGAAGACCGCTCTCCAGAGAGCCGGCAGCGCCTCGGCCGGCCGGTTACCTGCAGCGAAGCCCCACGGCAGCAGCCAGCCCGCGGCCGCCCTTTGTGATTGAAATGAGGGCCGGGGCCTCCCGCCGGGCTTTCCCCCCCCTCCACGCCGGCCTTGATGAGGAGCGCACGGCCTCGCTTTTATGAACACCTGTGTCTAAAGCCCACGAATAATTAGCTTAGCCTCCCTGTTTCCCTCCAATAATGGTGTAATTTGCCATGCCTTTCAGCCCCGGGACAGCTGGTGCTATTGAAAATCACCTCGGGATTAGGCCGCGGATCCCGGCCTCCCTCTTCGGGGGCTTCTCGCGTCTCCATGGCAACGCACTTAAAGGCTGCAAATTATCACCTCTAATAATAACGGGGAAAGTCTATCTTATTTTATTCCGGTTATATCCATAATAAAAGACAAAGCGTGAAAATTGAATGGAGGTCTCCAAGCTGCGAAGGAGCCTGTCCTGGCCCGGGCAGGAGCAGCGCGAGCAGATGGAGGGCTGCCAGGGTGCCACTGCGGGCTGGGCGCTGGGGTCTTTACCTGAGTCCCACTGTGTTTGGTGGTGGAAACAGACCCGCAGAGCCTGGGGTCTGCCATGGCACAGCGGCTCTGCTGCGGACAGCCGTGCAGGCACAGCCCTGGGGCTCCCCAGCACATCTATGGTTGTCTGGGACCGCGCTGAAGAAGGCTGCTGCATGAGGAAGCCTCGGATTTAACGCACGGGGAGCATCCTCCTCAAATGAGGCTCCTCTGCCCGTGTCCATCTACCCACTGGGAATAAAGAACATGGAGGCGGCCCAGACCCCACAGCAGCGAGGGAAGGTTAAGTTTTGAGGGGTGTTAGGCAGAAGCTCTTCCCTGTGAGGGTGCTGAGGCGCTGGCACAGGGTGCCCAGAGAAGCTGTGGCTGCCCCATCCCTGGCAGTGTTCAAGGCCAGGTTGGACACAGGGGCTTGGAGCAAGCTGCTCTAGTGAAATGTGCCCTTGCCCATGGCAGCAGGTTGGAGTTGGATGAGCTTTAAGCTCCCTTCAACCCAAACTAGTCTGAAATTCTATGATCATGGCACCCCACACTTCCTTTTGTCCTTCTAACACCTTCATGCTGTGGAGTTTGCCCATCCTCCGGCTTTCCTGATGCTCTTTATTTTCGGGGTTGGAACTAGCTGATCCGAAGATCCTTTCCAACCCTAACTATTCTATGATTCCATGATGCTGCTGACAAAGAAGGATGATCTATACTAAGGCCTCCCCCATGGAGGGTCCCCTCTCCCCGCTGCCCTGCACACACCATCACTGCTGGCACTCACATCTTCTTTCATTTAGGAGTTTTTTAACAGACTCTGGACAAATATTGATGTAAACACTGACTCCACGGCCACTTGAAACAAGATATCTACAGACAGGAAAGAAACCAGATTTTCTTTCACCTTCTCTTTTCAGAGGAAACTTTTCCTTCCCTAAACACCAATTACACACCTGGCCCCTAACGTGGTCTGAGCACAGTGCTGCCTTTTCCAGGTGAAGGGGATTTGCTCCCAGGTATAAACCTGGAGAAAATTCAACACTATCTGCTTCTTAAATTAGTGCAATTGGCAGCACTCGACAGTGTACTACTTCCTCTGAAAAGCACAGTGCAATTATAAAAACCTTAGATAGATAGATAGATAGATAGATAGATAGATAGATAGATAGATAGATAGATAGATATAGATAGATAGATAGATAGATAGATAGATAGATAGATAGATAGATAGATAGATAGATAGATAGATAATTAGTGTTACCTTATTTTCTGAACAGAACTCATCAGCACTTGAGGTTTATTGATAAAGCCAAGAATAGAGAGGGGATAGAAATATAGCTTTTACCTTCCTTTGATCTAGTAAACTGAGCAGGACTCTGAGGCAAGACTAATGTAAGTTGAGGTTGCTCTGAGTTACATCAGGTTCTCGCAATTTTGGAAATGAAGGGTAGTTAAAGCTCAGAGCCTTCTATGCACTGGAATATCCTCCATGCAGTGGGGAAGATGGTGTTGGGGTGGAGGAGCACTTGGATCTGGGAAGATGGGGTTTCAGCTTGTCTGTGTACAGGAACAGCTCTGTATTACGCTGGAAGGAGAATCATTTCATTTTTAACTCCCTGTTCCTGCTTCCTACATTTAATTTTCAGACAGATTCCTGCTCTGTGGCTTCTTGTTCAGAGCCCTGTTTGCTAACTGCAAGAACCCCTTCAGAGTTCACACCATGTTTTTGTTAGGAACCTCAAAAACACTTGGGTTTGCAGGGGAGGAGGTAAGGGTGAGCACCCTTGCATTTGGACGAGGGGCATGTAAAGATGAGTGACCAAAACAACTCCCCTGTCAGATGCTGCTCACAGAGAACAATGCCCACAGTGAGCACACAGCAGTGTAGAGAGAGGTGGTGGAGACTGCAGTGCCCCTATTCTGTCTGGGACAACTAGTGGGCCTCATGTGTACCCTTTACATGACACCTCAGATGTGCTCAGCTGTAAGCTGGTTCCTGAAAGGGGAAACCCTGCTCTGTCCTGGGAGATCTCCCTTCTTCTTTCAAATCATTAAATCAGCAGAAAACATCTTTTTCCCTCTCCCTTACTGCTGGGTTAGTGAGCGGAACTGGCTCACTAAGGATGGCAAATGGACAATAAGGCTGGCAGAAGGCAAGACTCAAAACGCCTAGGGAAGAGTTGGATAGGTCCAGATACAGTGTGAAGCCTCTGCCTGCCAGAATGTGAGCATCACTGGGTCCAGGCAGGAGTGTTACTGTCACATCCTTACAAAATGACAGCAAAGGCACAGTGAGAGCCAAAACATCACAGAGACAGCTCCTACATCCTACAAAGCAAAATCTGAGCCGGGTTTTTCTAAATTCCTGCCTGCCTTCATAGCCAGATGATGTATTTTTACCATCAAAGAGTCCCAGATCTCATTCCTATGTTCCATGGCCTCTACCCCTGGGTTTGGCCCATACAGTCTGTATCACCTGCATGTGAGTGAGGACAACGTGCAGGTCTGAGCAGCAATGGAGAAGTAGAGAAGAGGCAGCAGAAAAAGACAAGACACACTCAGACGTAAAGGCAAAATGTAGACTTGGGAAGTCAGGTTCTTAAGTTCACATCACCCCACTGACCAGAGCTGACATGACAGTTAATTCATGCAAGCCAGTGACCTTGGCTGCACTACAAGGGTAATGTTTTCTCAAGGATGAAATGTCCCTGTGGGACTCCAGTAGCGCATTCAGGGGGAAGCAGCAAACGTCTGACAATAGAGCTTCTTGTTTCTTTCCTTTCTTTGTAAACATCATTACTGTGAATAGCAAAAACTGTTTTCAGTCAAAGGCTTCATCAAATTTAGGAATCTCTCTCCATCCCCTACGATCTGTCTCACCTCAGGAAGAAGAGGCTCCTTTTGTAAAGCTGTCCTTGTGCCAGCACAGGGAAGGACCCTCCAAAGAGCTTCTCCCAGGGCAGCCAGGCAGCAGTTATGCCACAGGGGGCATTTATCACAGCCTCCCAAAATGCCCCTCAGACTCCAAAGTCCCAAAATGACCTTATGTGAGTTGACTTAGAGCAAGGCATAGCATGGTGTGAGTTGTTCTTTGGAAAGACAGCACTGCAGCAACTCCTCAGTCTGGTGTCCTGAAGATCCTGAAGACCTTCCTCCTCCTCACTTGGCTGAGCCAAGTCAAGGATCTTCCCACTTTGAAGCTAGAGTCTGGCCCCACTTTCTTTAGGTTACTAGTAGGCCAACCCACATCCTATAATGACCACAGGAATTGTATTTCTGAAGAGCTGAAAGCAATTCTTCATTAGTTTTTAGCAATTCAGCAGCTAGGATACACAGCTAAGCAGCTGTAGATCTGCTCAGAAAGAGCAAAACTGTGAACTGACCAGCTTAAATAGGGATTTTAGAGTGTCTTTTCCTCTACTGCAAGACGTATAACCATCAATATTTGAAGAATTGGTTCCAAATACAATTTGTTTAAAAGCAGATTCATAGGAAAACCTAATATCAGCTATGAAACAGAGCTACAGGACTGTTACTTGTTCCCGTTACTTCAACACTGCAGTACTTGGCACTTAGAGTCAGCTAGGGGACTTTTGTCTGCTTTTACAAAACTTGATAAAACATCCTTAAAACATTTAATTCTGTTTTCCTTCTGATTAGATTGGCCTGGGATTGTGTGAGCTTTCTCCCTTCAGAACCTCTCAGCAGGTCATCCAAGGCCAGGTTAGATGGGGCTTGGAGCAACCTGCTCTACTCGAAAGTGTCCCTGCCCATGGCAAGAGTTGGAACTGGGTGAGTTTTAAGCTCTCTCCAACCAAAACCAGTCTCTAATTCTACTACCTTTTGGCTGTGTTTTTGTGCCTCTTCCTCCCACTTAACTCTTTGGGGCAGATTTGGTCTTTGGGAAAGCCAAGCACAGCATGAACAGGACTAACTCATCAGCACACCAGAAACGTTTGTACCTGAAAAGCAGTATTAGTGTTGGTTCTAGCAGCAAACCTGAGAGTGAAATCATCTCTGCATGCCACAAAGGTGGCCTTATGGGTGCCACACAGACCAAAGAAAAGCCTTGCCAAGACTTGGCTTCCACATGGCATTTCCTGAGCTACAAAGGTTTGCTGCAGTCTCCTGGAGTCAGACAGATTTACTGGTACTGCTAAAGCCAAAAAGAAATATGACAGAAGCAAGAGGAGATCATGTCAGCAGCTGAAGTTGGGGACAAATAATCAGTCCTAATTTGACCAGGGTGAATAAGAATGGAAAAGAGGAGTGCCCATGCTGGGCTGCACCCCCAGAGCGTGAGCAGCAGCTTAGGGAGGGGATCCTGCCCCTCTGCTGCACTCTGAAGAGACCCCCCCCCCCCCCCTGCAGTCCTGATCCAGCTCTGAGGCAGCAGCACAAAAGAGACGTGGAGCTGTTGGAGCGAGGCCAGAGGAGGCCATGGAGATGCTGCGAGGGCTGGAGCAGCTCTGCTCTGGAGCCAGGCTGAGAGAGCTGGGCTGGGGCAGCCTGGAGAAGAGAAGGCTCCTGAAGGGGAGACCTGAGAGCAGCTCCAGTGCCTGAAGGGGCTGCAGGAAAGCTGGAGAGGGGCTTGGGACAAGGGCCTGTAGGGACAGGCCAAGGGGAATGGCTTTAACCTGCCCGAGGGGAGACTGAGATGAGCTCTTAGGCAGAAGCTCTTCCCTGTGAGGGTGCTGAGGTGCTGGCACAGGGTGCCCAGAGAAGCTGTGGCTGCCCCATCCCTGGCAGTGCTCAAGGCCAGGTTGGACACAGGGGCTTGGAGCAAGCTGCTCTAGTGGAAGATGTCCCTGCCCATGGCAGGGGCTGGAACTGGGTGAAGTTGAAGGTCCCTTCCAACACAAACCTGTCTGGGATTCTATGATTCAGTGAGGTTTGGGGTTTTGCTATTTTTAATAAGTGACCCTTAGCTCCAAAAAAAATGTGAAAAGCCTTACCTG